GAAAAATACGACATACTTCGATTTTTTCGTATTTTCCGACCTGAAAAAGATATTTGTGTAAGGTAAAAAGTTGTTTTTCGTGATCAGCAACTCTCACCCTATCAAATGATGTAAAAAAACGGCAAAAAAAATTTTTTACTTGATTTTCGCATCGCCGGCACCTTACATACAATAAGAAAGCGAACAACTAGAAAGAAGAAAATGAGAAGGTAAAAGTATAACCAATACAAGCAAAATCAGGAAAAAAAAAGAAAAGACGAGAACTGAAGAGGAGATGATGTTTTGCAGTTCGACAGGCAATATATTCCATTGTCTCACAACCCAAGGAAAAAAAAGTGTTTTTGAATTTTTCTGTGCGATTACGAAATACGTTTACTTGACCTCTCTCTCTTGAGCGTAAATATGTAGTAAATGTGTTAGAACTGAGAAGTTCCATATTGTGTGCTCACGAAAATAAACCGAAGAAGCTCTTTTAGAATTTTGTATGTAGTTATTTGTGATGCGATTACAAGTATATAATAACTTCTGTAAAGCACTGTTACAGAAGTTACTGCATTCTCTTTCATAGTTTTAGATTAGTAGAATTGACAACATGAGTCATCACATTCGAATGCGTCCCGAGGTCGTTCAAACAACGATTGATGAAAAATATATTAATCTTCAGAATAATCCTCAATTATCTATGTGGACAAATATGGGAAAAAATAATGAAAAGATCTTTTTGAATAAGGAAGGCAATTATATTGAAACAAATGATCTTATATTCAAATTTATGAATGATGACACTGAACATAAGCACTTTCTTGATTTGGGGACTGGAAACGGAGAATTGTTAGTACATGTAAATAAACTATTGAATATTCCATTTGATTGCATTTTTGGAATTAGCGCTGTTGATCACCGGCCAGTCGATTCAATAATTCCTAATACATCTTACCTCATAATGAATGTCGACAATCTTAATGAATGGTCAAATAAAATAACAACACTCAAGTACAGTCTAATTGTATCTAGTAGCACATTTTATCATTTGGTTGATCCTTTAACTGTATTGGAAACTGTTTACGATCTACTTGAAATAAATGGATTAGCAATAATACGCCATATTCCACTGTCTATTTTACGTATAAACGCACGACATCTCGAGTTTCTACTTCAAAAAGAGGGTCATACAGTTTGTGTCATTGAAATGATGAATTCTCCTGGTAATTATCTATTTGCTATTGCTAAAAGGGCTGAAATTCCAACCTTAATTTTACCATTTGAATATACAGGAGGCATTATATCAGTCTCTGGTTCTTATACGTATGCTGCAGTTCAACTTCATACTATTATAAACGACGAATATATATTACATCAATGTCAAAATACCACTTTCTTTCAAAATATTGGTATTCCGATAAAGCAATGGAAAACTTAACATGACTTGCGCTTGTTCCTGTAATATTATTTAGAAATATACATAATCAAACGCGTGAGTAAGTTGATTTAATATGAGATCTATTTTAAGATCTGTTTTTGTCAGAACAGCCAACATGAACATTACAACTACGGTCAATTTACCATTTATAATGCGTCGTAATACATATAGCTGTTAACCAAAAAGATTCTTGGCATGTACATATTTCCTTATATATAGTGTTTGACACCGTTTCCCACATTGTTTAATAACCTACGAAAAGTAAGATACATGTTATACAAATTACCAGTGAATTTTGTTTTTGACTTTTAAATAAAGTACAAATAATTCAAAATTCGAGCGAACTTTGTTTTTGACTTTTGAATACATATTCTGATTCATCAGGACGTGCAGGAATCTCGAGCTTTTGAGTAATAATGTTGATGTTCCTCTGGAGAAATTTCGAGGTTTTGAGGATAAACGATGCAGTTCTTGTAGAGAAATTTTTTTGAGGAAAGAGTTGAGGTTGTTGTAAAGTAATGAAATCGAATATGTCGATAGTCAAGGAAATCCACAAATCTTACAGTGTTGCTTGCAGGGTAGACCACACAAAGATAAAAGTACGAGTCTAGTAGGAATTAGCGAAGAATTGAAAGTTCCATTGCCATTTCCACCAGCTGTTGACAATATACGAGCTGCACTGTCGAATCATCCTGTTTTCAAGAATGTTAGTGTAAGTAAATGTGGACAACCCTATCCTAATCTCTCCGTTTTAATCGATAAACTTAGGTGTCACGACTGGAACCACTGGCTGAGAAGTATTGAATTAAAATTACATTTAAGCCAAGTTCCACTGTGAACTGAATTACATCGAGGGCTTCTGGAATATCCAGAAGCAATATGTGCGAAAGAAAACCGATTAAACATACCCAACGATGTTAAAATTGATCGCTACTTCTCATGATCATTTCAGTGAAAATCAGTTGCATCTTAGACTCATTCGACGTTAATGGGTTTGCGTAGTGAAATACAGAGAAGGAAAATCTTACGCTGAACAGTTGTGCTTACGGTTATTCTTTAGTGGTTTGTGTACAGGAACCCACATAAGTCATACTAGAATCAGTAATTCAAAGTTAAAAGTCTAATTATAGTTTCTCTGAGTTCTGTCTTTATTGCATTTTTGTGAGTTGCGTTTTTGCTGTCGGATTCGTGCTATTGGATCGAAATTTGAAGCGAAAATGAAAAAATGAAGCGAAACGGACGAGGCCATTTTGATGTCGTTTTTGGTAAAATCGGAATATCTCAGCAACAAAATTGAATTTCGAAAAAACCTCTCTTTTATTTTGTAGCTTAGAAGCTAGCGAATCTAGCGCACTATAAATGTGTCATTATGTAGGAGACAGAAAGAAAACGAAAGAAAAAAATATTTGTGCATATACATATATGCAAGTAACACTCATCTTCGATTACTAACCCTTGACTGAAAGATCCTGGTGTCAACGAAGACGACATGTACGGTGCGCGAAATTCGCAACTTACAGAAAATGAATTTTGTTGTCTTCGGTACGGTTGAATAAAACTGCTCGAGTTATCTACTTAAAGCTGATTTTGATGTCCACAAGTAATTGCGAAAAAGTTTTGATTTTTTGAAAATAGTTCAAAAAAACTAATATGAAAATATTCGTATTATATTACTAAGATCCAGCTAATTCAAAGATGTAGTGAAAAACTAGATTTGGTTGGTTTATGTACTGTTCGATAGAGAATCGGACCGCGATCACGAATATCATCATCCCGGCTCTCAGAATCCTTTCCTCGCGGAGATAATTCCAAAATACGGAGCGATGGGCAAAAGCCGGAAAAATGCCCATAACTCCACCCAAAAAGATCATAGAGATTTGCGATTTCGATATTCGGATATTTTACCCATTGGAACTTCTGTGTCTTTGGTGTGACACCTAGTAGGGTTATGTGTTTCGTAGGTATATGTTTAGCACCGGTGTTTATGGTTCTGTGAGGTTGTTTTTTAGAGAAAAAACGAACAGAGGGCGAGAGGGATCCGGCGAAGCCGGACGTCCGGACGGTTCTTTTTTTCGCAAAAAAAATTCTTGGTTTTCGTACTACGTATAACTTGAAGAGACATGATTTAAAAGTGAAGTGAAAGTGAATAAAACTTTGATCTTATTTTTAGTTCGAACGAGCAATGCAGCGTTGTTATGGTATTGTTCAATAATAAACTTTTAAATTGATTTAATTTCAACTTATTACTCATTTCATATCAGCTCATTAATACTACTTGGGAAGGTTGAATGTCTAGTTTTGTTTCAGCATCTTTTTCTTCCTTAAAATGATATGTCTTCTTTCACTAAATGATGATGTGTCGAGCAATAATTATCAACAGTTGAGAAAAATGGATACAGTTCTATTATAAATATAAGAATATAAGAAGTTTTTGGAAAAAGTTACGCCGTAAAAAAACCGTAAAAAAATCTTGACCGAACGCCCGCCAGTAGGAGGGAAGGGCGGGTCAGAAAAAACCGGACAGGGAAGACGAGCTAGCCAGACAAGCTAGAAGAAGGCGAGATAAACGTTAACACTAAACATTCTAATCAACGTCAACGGACAAATGATTTGTCTGTTGAGTCTTATAATAGGACTCTGATAAGATTCTTATATAAATCTTCAGTATCAAATCTTCAGTATCAATCTTCAGTATATTAAATCTTTATAATAAATCAGTTTCTTATATAAGATTCTTATCAATAAATTACGCATTTCCATCGACTGCCTTATTAAGAAATTCATAAGATTCTTGCAGATATTTTATAAGATTCGACCTCTAGGGTGGCGTTCTGACTGCTGAGATTTCTAGGTAAACGATATGCTTTTGTGAATCTTGTCTTTATTTTTTATACGTTATTTTGAAAACTGATGTAAAACATCTCAGAAGATGCGTAATAGAGCACAAATGACGTCTTTCTCTTGATATATACTGTGATCTCTGACGAGAGTGAGAGATCACATAAAAAAAATTGTGGCTTGGCTCTAAATAAAGATTTGAATTTCTCTTTGTTTGTAGGAATTAAGATGCATGGCATCTTCAGTTTGTTATGCTTTTACAACGGTCTCGTCCTGAGTTTCCGAAATGAGAGGTTTTGTAGCGCGTGAGTCAAAGAGTGGGGTTGCTCTAATAAGTCTCTCATTCTGAAGTGCAGTAATTGCGTTGCTTGGCCACTTTTGTTTGCTTTTCGCTTTTATGTGTGAGTTTCAGTCTTTTTCTTTAGTTTTTCTAAATTTTTAATGCCTATACAAGAAACAGACAGTCTTGTTTTGTCTCTACTTTTCAAGTAGAGATCGATTCTTTTGAAATCGTGAATTTAGCCTAAAAGAGAAAAAACAAAAGCAAATAAGCAATTAAAAGTGTTCATCCTTAAAACATCTAGGTATGCTTCCAGAGGGCCTTTGTACACCTATATTCGCCCGTAGAAAGCTTATGTACGTCCAAGAAGCGCCGATGTATGCTTCTAAAGGATCTTACTTCCGAAACCGTGTAGGTATAAACTTGACGAACAGTCTACTTATCACACGTGAACGCACTGACAAAAAAAATTCCAGGCGAAAGGCCATTTGCATGACACATTCACATTACTTGTTTTTAATGACCATAAATACCTCGTTTTTACATCATTAAGTGTCCGTTAATTGACCATTTTCACATCCTTCGAATGATGTAATTACGACCGTAAAATGACCCAATCGGCTGAACCAGTTGTAGAGTCATTTTACGGTCGTAATTACATCATTCGAAGGATGTGAAAATGGTCAATTAACGGACACTTAACGACGTAAAAACGAGGTTATTATGGTCATAAAAAAAGAACACGGTCTTATTTATCTCATTAATGACTGAAAATACCTCATAAACGTCTGAGTAATGATCTAAAAATGAACATCGATGAATGATCATTTTTACGTCGTAAGAGAAATGATCTAAAACACGACCGAATAATGAGACCGTTTATGGCATAAAAACTAAATAAAAATGATCTTAAATGATGTAAATCGGTCAATTAATCTTCCATTAATGACTCATTAATGAGTCATAAACGCGTCATTTTTTATCTCGTTTTCATCGTCCTGGGTATGCTTGTTTATATAAAGTGATAAAATAAAAACCAAAGCTGAAGTTTTTAGCCTTAATCAATAATAGCAGACTACCTCAGAAAAGCAAAATAAAAACAACATAAAGAAAGCTTTCGCCTATTTTTCACACCATCTTTAAAAAAATAACTTTATCTATGTGAAATACACTTCTATTTCCACAACACATGTTACCCGTAAACATCAATGTGCCAAATTAAGGCACTTGAAAATAAAAGAAAAATGTTCAAATTTGAAATATCAAATATAAATGTTTTTTTCCGAACTTTCAGCCGCAGCTGCAAAGGTGATTCAAAAAAGAAAGTATTCCATGTCAGCTAAAAGAACGAAGAAAGAAGTATCGGAAAAATGACCAAATACGATATGTGAGCGAGAAGAGAAGTTCAGAAAACAAGTGCTATGTTTTTTTATTCGTCATACTCATTATCTTTTGAGAACTGATCAGCGCATTTATCAAATTTTAAAATCAATTTGTTTAGATTTTGTAGTGTATTCGTTGTTTTAGTAACGAGAGGTATTCTCTTTTTAACCAAAATGTTATCGTCATCTTCATCAAGAACATGTGCACTATACATATCAAACGTACTAAGAGGATGATTCCTTTTTCGAGACATAGGTGTTGTTGACGTAGCGGTAGCGGTACGGACGTTTGAATGTGGTCGTGTTAAAAGAATATCAACATCATCATCCTTATCTTGACATTGAATAAACGAAAAATGAAAATAATTGAAGAATCTTAGACCTGTGGTAACAAATGTAAATGGTAAAACTTTGGTCAAAAGTTTAGATTTACAATCTTTCTTACGTTAAATGGTCAGAGCTCTATAAACTAATGTGATATACAGCTGAAAAAAAGGAAAGTATGACACATACGTCATAGCCAAATAAGACAACAAAATAGAAAAGAAAAAAGAAAAGAAACAGGAAATCTGAATCTTGGAAGAAATAAGACAAAAAAGTCGATGAGCAAGTGACGTTAAAGGAACAAGAGAAAATACATTTGCCACATATATGATCGAGAGATACAAGAAGAGATATATCCTTATTTGCTATAGTCCTAGTGTGATTATGTCTTCTGATGATGTAATAATAGTGTTAAATCTCTTCTTTCGTTCTGCATGTATTTTTGTATATAAAATGCTTCTTTTCTTTTTATCATTCATTCTTCAAAATGATCTAAATTCTGATCGAAAGCTCAAGCGTTTAAATAAAATCAGAAGCATTTTTCATATCAGTGTTATACTTTATATTTAAAACTTGAATTATTCATATTCCGGTCTATACGTAATACGTGCATGTATTAACTAATGTCTGTTATATAACTGTCTATGATACTTGAATCTGACGTAAGTTTTTAGCTCCGTCTTTTAGTATTGTGTTTATATTTATACAACTTGTTGTAAGTTTTTTGTTATTCTATGTAGACAATGCGAAAGAAAAAAGAAGAATTTTGTTCAGTAACAAGTCTCTTTTCAATAGGACAATCACAAGAGTGCATAGATGACTACATCATATAGAGAAGCATCAAGAAAAAAAGATAAATAATTTCTTTAATAGCGAACAGAACGCAAAAGACATCACGAAACTCTTTTGGTATGAACTCTAATAGTATATATGTGGATATGCCTGCATCTAGAAGAATAAACACATAATCTCTCTATATAAGTTTCTTCTGACATTCTTTTCAATCATTCTATTTTCTCATCAGTTACCCTCTCTCATTTATGTAACATAATATTATGTAAATTTCGTATAAACTTAGTGTTTACTCATACAGCAAATTATTTTATACAACGTTTTCAAAAATGTTATAGCAAATTCGTTACTGCAAATGAGGAGAAGAAATGCAGAAGACGTAGTGATGCAGACATTTCTGTCTATGATAGTAAACACTTTAATCGCTCTGATTTTATTTGCTAACATATCATACAGCTTTAAACATATTTCTCTCGCACTCACGCTGCGGATCGTCTGCTATATGGTGCACCTGATCATATAAACAAATAATGAAGCAGGTCAAGCTACCGTCCTTATTGCAATTACTATCTCGAAAGAGTTCTTGGGAAATGTGTACTGATCGCTTACCGGTCAAAATTCTTAGAAAAATGGTCGGATGGTCCTATCTGCACTCGTTAGTCTATCACCGGTGGTTGACTGGTATCGATCAAGATTTTGTTGGTCGGTCGTATCTCTGATGGTAGAGTTGTGTCATGCTTTTACTTAATAATTTACTGCTAATTGATAGAATCTATCCGCTTGCAGCATTTTCAATATATCTGTGTGCTCTGCCTTCAAGTTATGTTCACCTTCGTTCCACCCGTCTCCTGGCCCGTTCTGAAGAATTACACAAGGAAAAGATGAATATTGGTTAGGGCATCCTTTGGTCAATCATCGTAGGATACAGTTTTACTTGTTTAAATAGAACTCTTCTTAGTAGAACTAGTGATATACTGCTCATCAAGGATTGAACTGTGCTTCATCCACAAAAATGATTTCGAACTACTAGTATGAGAATGATTTTAAGATACGCATATCTCAGGTTTTAAACATTACTTTGACAGTAGGACTCACATGTAAGTATATTAGGCAATCAACCTGTGCCAGGCTACGGATGAAAAAAGCAACGTGACAATCTGTGGGCCTTGCTGAATCGTTCTAGGGATCGTCGACCGAAGAAAGTCGCGAAGAATCCCTTTGTTACACTAATCCTAGATATATTATCACTACATGCAGCGTAACCGAAGTCAAGTGACCGAGCGAACCGCGATGAACGTTACCTTGTTATGCATGACATGTTGGTTAGATAAAATTTTGGAAATTTTTTTAATTTTTAAATTTTATTAATTTTGCTAATTTTCCAAAATTTTATCTAACCAGCATGTCATGCATAACAAGGTAACGTTTATCGCGGTTCGCTCGGTCACTATTAGCGATGTTGTATTGTCGATAATCCTTCTTCTCCTTTGACAATAATAGTTATCTGTCACTTACGCTACACCTTTCAGGCATAAAATGATTACTCATACAATTCGGAGCTAATTTCTTTCTGTTGTCTACTCCACATTCATTCTGAAATCATATTGAAATCGTGCACTTACAAACTACACTTATAGGGTTATTATTTCTTTCTGTTGATTTAACATTTTTTCTTTCTAAGTATGTATAACTTCCATCACAACAAAAGATGCCATATACAAGAGAAAATAGAAATACCATTAGAGGAGAAAAAAATTTGGTTATTGCAAGGACAAATTTTAAAGAGACTAGCAGAAAAGGCTAATATTGAAGATAAGTAAACAGTTTTATCTTCCATAGAAAACGTATCTAAGTAGCATATGAATCCATAGTTTTTGCTGTTGGATCCAATTTTAGAGTATCAGACCGAGGAGCATGTGACAAACACGTGAGATAACCTTACTAACACATTTCTTGCTAGGCAAAATGTCGTGTTTGAGGTTGTATTAGTATGTACGTGTTCTTTTATCCAAATGGTTTTTGGTTGAATAGACTTTTTCAGTTAATCTCTGAATCAAACCGAAAATATCGTTTTTGATGAATTTCTGTGTAAATAGATTTGAAAACTTAACTTATCTTTCATTTGAGTGAACAAAAAAAGATGTTTCTTATGCTGTTTAGCGTGTCGAAAGGTAACTTTTATTATAAAATTTAAAATTTAAAACAAATAGTATTCTCCCATCTCACTTGAGAATCTCGGCAGTTGTCCAACACCCTTTAGCCTGATAGTTTGCTGATAAGAAGAGCACATGATACTACGAAAAAGCCTAACTAACTTTTGTTCCATATGGCGTCGTTCCACAGAAGTCATGGTTTTAGATTATTTATAGGAATCATCTACATGTAACATCGTGACTCATATTTCTTTTTTGTATTTACTACGTGTTATGAATATCTTGTAAGCGATAAAGATAAGCTGCATCCATATCGTTGAGTCACTATTGTATGTATATTACAAGGGGGAAACAGCGGACTCCAGACTTCAACACGTCAACAGACTCCACTTGACTCCAAATGACTTCATGCGTCTGGAGTCCGCTGTTTCCCCCTTGGTCTTGCGCCTTGTCCCAATTTTTAAGTATTATTTTTCCATGTGTTTTTTTAATCTAAAAATGCTGTATAGTAAGCTGTTTAATCAAGTTTACTGATATAAAAGTCCATAAAAGTAGCTGTTATTGTTAGTAAGATATCAAGGTCAATGTTTACTTTTTTGCTTTTGAAGATTATAAAAACACGACACATAAAAGATATATCATCACTACTGATTAAATTTATAGATATTTTCGACAAGTCTAAAATATATGAAATATTACTGAAATATTCTAAGTTTAAATGATCTTAATGCAACTCGGACAACACGAATGATTGCAAAAATGCATATATAGTAAACATTGATCTGGATATCTCACTAACAATAAGTGCGACTTCCATGGAAATTTATAGCAATAAACTTGATATTATATTAAACAACATACTATGTGTACAGCATTTTAGATTAAAAACACAAATCGGGTCAAGATTTATGAAACACCCTTGGATTGTCCTGGGCTATAAAAAGTAATTAATTGATGGTGGTCCGCACTCCTTTTGTTATTTTCTTCACTCATACCTAGAAATTTTTACGTAAAGACATAACTACGATAAATTTACATAATATTTCTAAAATTTAATCAAATTTAATAAGAGACTATTCACCATCAGTCCACTAACCATCAAGAAGAATATCACTAAGGGAACAAGACATAGCATCACATTTTTTTAAAACAATAAAATGACTTACTTAGTATTCATTCGAACATAAATCAACTTTGGATCATGACTCTGAACATGAAGTAGATGATATTCATCACGATACTTCTCATTTAACACCTCCAACAACAAATAAATCCATTGATAATGATTATACAGGACACTATGATGGAGTCTTTTACGTACATATGATCCAGAATTTATGAAAAAAGCAGTCGATTATTATGACAAAGCAGATAGCAACGGTAAAAGAAAATGTTCGTGGATAATATTTCAACATCGTTCTAAAACAATACTATATGTAAGATGTTTATCAAAATTTAGAAAATATTTAGAATCAAAAAGAACTAAAAGACAAAAGATAGATAATATTGTTCATTATGTTTATGATTTATTTGAAGAGAAAAAAATTGAAGACAAATTTTTTCCTGCACACAACATTGAGTTGAAAAGATGGGTTTCACAAAAACCAAGAGAAGAAAATTTTAAAAGTGAATAGATCTAGCCTAGGAAAACTTTCCCTTAATTTCTTTCCGCTCTTGGTTTATAAGCAGAACAAGTTACACTATGATGATTCATATAAATAATCTAAAAGCACTCTTTCTCTGGAACGAAGCCGTATGGAACAAAATCTAGTTAGGTTTTTTCTTAGCATCATGTGCTCTTCTTTCAGTAAAACTAACAGACTAAACGGCGTTGCACACTTGCCGAGATGCCTTCGTTAGGAATTTCCTTTTACTTTACCCTCAAAGTGCCTCGTATGTGAGAGTATCTGTTATATGCTGCCTAAGCCCGTATTTAAAGATATTTTTAGAGTTTGGTTTTAATGGATGAAGATTTGTATTATGTTCCTCGCCGTGGCGATCATCTGTATGTTTGGCGTAAAGTTCGCATGTACCAGCATCATGGCATTGTCATTTCTGCTAAGGACATTCTCGAACATGTGGATGCCAGACTTCATCCTATCAAAATTAAACCTTTGATGATCATTGAACAAAATAAACGCGGTCTTGGCATCGTCACTCTGGAAGAATTTCGAACTGAATATCCGTTTAATTACATGCATGATGTTGGGTGTGCTCGATACGGAACTGATCCAATGAATTATTATCTAAATCGAAGTGGCACATGTTATCTAACCGCTAGAATAGAAGAAGACCAAATAGTAGAAAACGCCATAAGAATATATAATGATGAACGGCAACGAGATATTTGGAAGACATATAGTCTAATAGTTAAAAACTGTGAACAATTTGCATTTGTTTGCTGTACGAATGTTGAATATGTTTTGGGAGAGCAAGTTTTGTTGGCTTGTAATGCAGTTAAATGTCTGTTTATTAATGGAATCTACAATGCTGTTAAATTCAGCTTTCAGATTATTCGAGGTAAAGTGTAGACAATGCGCGACTATGAATACTAGTTCCTTTTTTGCAGAACTGGCGGATCAAGTTGTAAGCGGAGTGTCCATTGATATGCTGATAAAAGGTTAGACTCTGCTTCTTTCCTTTACCCCGCGCTATTTCTATATTTCACTCTAGGAAATGCTTTGGCTGCTTTATCGGCTTTTACATTGGAAGCATTAATCCTGTCCGTACGTCTATTTATCTACTATTGGTATGAAACTGACCGCGAGAAAAATTTGATACGGAAAGTGGCGATAACACCAGAGAATTATGTTCAACAAATGATTCAAGCTGGTGTTGGCAGTCTGGCTGCATTTGGATTGTCTATAGCTGCGGTTTGGGTGGGTTCAACGACGTTTATGGTTGGTGCAACACCCATGGTTTGTTCCATTTTCTTTGGTTTTATTGGTTATTTAGCTGCTCGATGGCTTAGTGGACTGTTGATTGTTCAAGTAAAGAAGAAATTGAGGTAAGGAGCATAGCATTAACAGTTTTATAAATTGTAGTTGTTCTTGCGCTTCTAGGAATGATGAAAAAACCGTTATGTACAAGGACCAAGGTGATGAAGAGGACAGAATCAACTTTGTCTAGAAAACGAATCCATAAACTATTATCTTCGTCACTAAATTAACTTAATTCTTAGCAAATACAAATGTGTCCGTGTACCTTTAAAATCTTAGACTAAGTGCACAATTTCTCTACCTCTACTTCTTGTCTCCCTTCATACGTCAAAAATCAGCATCATCCCTAGTAGCATTCCCGCTTCATTTCGCGGCAAGAATACAGTCTCATCTTGCTGCGATTTTGACAAGAAATTTGAAACTTAACGCGGGATCCACTCCGCGAGCGTACCTAATCTTGCTATTTTTCCCGTGTAACGAAAATTTGACAATTTTGACGCGAACATTTTTTGATAGGATCGCGCTGAAGTCCTGGAAAGATTGCAACGGGATACGGACAAGTTCGTACCAAGATGATTAGAACAAGGTTGCAGGAAGGCTGAGAAAGCTTTCCTGCCACTTATCCGATTGTCACTACATTCGTTCGATGGTTTAATCTCTTTTCCACCAAATTTCATGATGTTTTACTCGGTATTTTCTTCGAGAACATGAAGTAATTAAAGATTTTCTCCTAGAACACCTTCAGAGTATACAGCAATTTATTTGTTTTGTTTTGAGTTATAAGCTCCATTTCATTCCAATGGCACAAAGTTGAACTGTTATTAATTTTCTCATCTAAAACGTTATATTAGTTTTGTCCGGGAGAAGTTTCATCTGACGAGGGAACGTTCCCAGGTGTCACGCGCCGTTTGAGTAGAGACCTATGCCATTTTGTACAGCTCAACGAGAGTAGCTCATGGTATGAAATGTTCGTCCCCATATGCAGCTGTTCAGCGGGTGCATCAATTTCAGGTATAGAAAATTCATGGTAAGATAAGATGCTCCAAATTCAAAATTATAGCACTATTTTATTTTTGGCTTAATCATACATCATTCGATAGGGAATTTAACGCTGATCAAGAGTATCTGGTCTTTAGTCTTCCCAGTTCACATTATCAGTCAAAAAAATTCAAAAAACTTGAACGATCTTGAACGACCACCCAAATGCTTTTTTCTTTAACGACTGGCCCAACCTGACTCGATATTCTGACTAGCTCAGTTTGTGAGAGACTTTCATGGGCTATCTAATGGTATTCTTTTAAAAAATATATAGTTTCTCGTTAGGACAGAAAAATGACTAAACAAGTGTTCCACAGGCGTTTTCCGTACGTCCAACGCGTTTTTTGCATGTTCCTGATGACCGGGTCGACCGGTCTAGATTGTCTGACTAGCTCAATTTGTAGACAATTTCAAGGGCTATCCAAAAGTATAGTTTTGAAAAATATATGTGAAGAAACGAAAAAGTAATCGAAAAACGACTTCTCCGAAAACGGCTAAATTTTAATAAAATTCAAATATGTCAAGAACGAAAAAACTTTTTAAAAAAAGCGATTCATACTTTTTTTCACGTTTCAAGGCGAATCGAACGGCGTATGAAACTTGGCTTCATGTTTTAATCGAAAAGCTGCGATAGGTTTGCAAGATGAGGGTCTCGAAACCGAAGATTTATCGTTGCGCGCCGAGCAAACGGAGCATTTTTTGGTGTTGAACCTTCAAATACAGTTTTCTAGATGCAGTTTTCAGAGCTGAATAAGAAAAACATAGTTTCACGGCTTCGAAATGAGGCGGAACCAAGTTATTCAGTTTTTAAAGAAAGTTAACGGTTTTTCGAAAATAAGATCGTTCAAGTTTTTTGAATTTTTTTGACTGATAATGTGAACTGGGAAGACTAAAGACCAGATACTCTTGATCAGCGTTAAATTCCCTATCGAATGATGTATGATTAAGCCAAAAATAAAATAGTGCTATAATTTTGAATTTGGAGCATCTTATCTTACCATGAATTTTCTATACCTGAAATTGATGCACCCGCTGAACAGCTGCATATGGGGACGAACATTTCATACCATGAGCTACTCTCGTTGAGCTGTACAAAATGGCATAGGTCTCTACTCAAACGGCGCGTGACACCTGGGAACGTTCCCTCGTCAGATGTATCTTAGCTTCTTCATCAGTGTATTTTTCAGTTCTGATTCGAAACGTTACTGCCGTTGGATCTCAGAATAGAAGTGAGAGGGACTGTCTGTGTGTTTCGTCTGTGAGTTGCGCCAATAAGGTAACGCTTGCCATATGTGAAGAAAGCATTCACTCTTGAACTTCCAGTGAATGTGTATCGGTAGATACTTGACACTCGGATCAGTTCGTTGGTAGAGTCAAGCTAGGGTCCTGTGATTGAGGTGCTCTGACTGTGCCGCTATCCTCTGCCCACCAAACAGGCTCAAAATGATCGTTGCTACATTCTGAAAGACTCAAACGGCAAAGCGATCTTACACCGAGGAAACCCACAATTTGTGATACTTCAACCTTGTGCATTTCTCTTACTGTTGTGACTTTTCATTCTGAGATTTCTGCAGTCCACATATTTAACTGAACCTACACACCGGAGAAGACTTTAGATTTGATGCATTGTTCGAGAAAGAATATTCTCTTTCGATTCTAAAATTGTCAAGAAGAAAATAGTTCAACTTTGAGACAAAAAAATTAATTTTCCTCTCCGAATGCTCTTCTCTCTCGAAAAATTGCTGCGGACTTACTGATGACAACAGTCAAACAGTTAGTCTATTTTCATTAACTACAACAAAACCCAAAAACCATTAGGAGAAAAACACTCGTTGTACTGCGTTAAAAAGTTAAGAAATGACTATAATTGACGTGTATTATATATCTATTACATATGTTAAAAGAGAATAAAGAATAAATACAGTGGACGATAATATACGCGTACTGTCTGTTTTCTTCTTCTATCGACGGATGGACGAAATAAAAAAATATTACATCGTTACAGGCTGAGATAAAGGAAAATACGAAGTCAGTGTGATCCTAGTTTCGTGCAAGAATTGATTTTGTACTTTGATAGTTTAAGGCCTCCCCGGAACAGAATGATATAGTAAAAAATTTTCCTCAACGGTGGACAAAGGAAAAATCTCCTCAAGATCTTGTCTCGAATTAGACACAATCTTGCTATAATCCTGCCGCGATCCCGTCACTGTCTTGAAACACAAATGAAACGGGATCGCATAATGAACTTGATCAAGAATGCGATTCTAATTATAAGATCGCGATTTGATTTTCTCAAGGTCAGCATTTTTTCGTTACACGGGAAAAAATCGAGTTCGCAATCAGATCTCAGCAAGAATGAAACGGGAATATCATTAGGAATGGTAGATGGCCTCTGTATGACAGAAGAAAAAAAAGATAGCGAGCATAGGCATCTGTACGTTTCACTAATTCTGTCGTCGGGATGTATATTAAAAGACGTGGTCGGTTTTGAGAAAGTCTAACGAAGAAAAAACTAATTATATGCCGGTTGAACGAATATGCGAGACAAGCGTAGAAAATGAGAAAATGGTTACATACACGTAGTTCAACACGGTGTACAAGGTAGTCAGATTAAAAGCTCTTCATCTTGGATTTTGAGATTCAGATGAATCGTCATAAATCGGTCTTCATATTCTATTTCTTGCTCATATAAAGGATGAACATTCAATGAAAATATAAAATCTAGCGAATTTCTTACTTTATTTTTCAAACAGAGAAACGTTCTATATACGAAGTAGCAAAATAGAAGATGAAGAAAATAAATCAAGACAAAAAGGAAACGAGTTAACAACAAAACTCGTGTCTTTCATTTTTGAGTTAACATAGTGTGAGACACACTAGTTTCCACATGAAAATAGTGTTTTGTTTGTTTTTCAAAAACTAGATTTGCACCCAAAAAGAAACACTAGATTCGGACTCTAGATGAAAAGACGAATCAGAATATGTATACTATTTCTTTTCAAATCGTTTCTATTGTTTTTTCTTTTGGTTTTCGTGTTATCAATTGTTTCGTTTTCATTCATAGTTACTAAACTTATTTCTTATCTGTCAATCAGTGTAAAAAATATCTGTGGAAGACAGATGTATATTCTCTTTCTCTCTGTTCATCAGGAAATTTATGAAACAGAAAAGAAGAGGTAGAAGGAGAACAGGAAAACTAGCTAATTTCAACTTAAAAACGGTTTCTCACTGCTTTCTCGAAAATATATATTTTAGATTCGAATATAGTTTTAGATATATTTGAGTGATTTATTAAGGCGAAGAATTTCAATACAGAAAATAAGAGATAAACCAACTTTATAATCACGAAAGACTATTTTCTGTTAGAGACGTTTTGTCTTTAAAGACATCAGCAGTCAAATGTGACAGATGATAGTTGATTTAAAATAAAACATGAAATGTAATACATATATATAGAACGCAAAATACATAAAATACAACTTTCCTTTTTTCACAATATATGACGACTGAATGCGTTCTAATGCGCGCGTGCTTCAAAAATCAAGCACTATTTTATTTTTAG